AGCCTTTGCTTCTGAAGCGAAGGAAGGAAGGAAGGAAGGAAGGAAGGGAGGGAGGGAGGGACATAATCCATGAAGACATAGCCAGGAAATCTCTGCTGTCATCAGCACTTATGGCTCCCATTCTAAAATGCTATTGTTAATTTTCTCAAATGAAAGAAAAACAAAGCCTTCACACTGACTCCAGGTGGGAAAGGGAGCTGGTCCATTTGCCTTGTAGGATCATCTTCTCAGTTAAAAATAGCCAAGACACCAGGGTGGGGCAATGTCCACAGGCAGTGGAGGGGCCTGAGCTCCAGCATTAGCGGACCAGCCAAGAGCCATTCAGCTAAGGCACCTGAGAAAAATGGGGTCCTGCCACCCAACGGGACAACTGTTCTCTTCATAAGTGCTTGGAACTGTTTCTGGAAACATAACAATTACCACACCCAAGCCCTTGTCCCCAACAGGAGAAGCAGGGTGTGTGGACTGTGCAGCAGAAATTAAGTGGCTGCCTTCACAGCGAGCTCCTACCTCTTCAGAAAGGATTCTCTAGGCACAGGCATTTCTGGGCTGGCTTCTGACTCATGTGTCTCTCTGGCACTCTCTGCTTTTTCCTCATTTCCCATCTAGATGGCAGAGAAAGAATTGACTTGAAGAAGAATTAAAACACCACGTTTCTTACTAGACACTCTAAGCTTCATCTTAAAACAAAAACATCCTTAAAAATGACCATCACAACTGGGTATGGTGGTTCACACCTGCAATCCCAGAGTTTTGGGAGTCTGAGGTGGGTGGATCACCTGAGGTCAGGAGTTTGAGATCAGCCTGACCAAGAAACGTTGTCTCTACTAAAAATACAAAATTAGATGGGTGTAGTGGCGCAGGCTTGTAATCCAAGCTACTCAGGAGCCTGAGGCAGATAATTGCTTAAACCCAGGAGGTGGAGGTTGCAGTGAGCTGAGATCGCACCACTGCACTCCATCCAGCCTGAGTGATAGAGTGAGACTCCAGCTCAAAAAGAAAAAACATCCATCACAATGACCTACCTGTGCTGCTTGTAGGTGGCCTTCCTCTCTGCCATATCCCTCTCCAAGGCTTGAGCACAGAGCTTTGGGGAGAAAAATACATCCATGTCCTGACCGGGCAGACTATACCTAAAAGCAAGAAAAACAAACAAACAAACAAAACTTACCCAGTTGTCAAAGAGCCTTTCTTGCAGAAGGAGCATCTGAAAAAGTCGCCACACCCAGCCTGAAAGAACATCTTTTAAGTTCTTTGTAGAATTTGTTTTCTCTGATTTCTGCACATAAGATAGAAACAAAATATGTACTAGGATTTTGATAGAAGCAATGGGTAATCTAAAAAGATGAGAGAGCCACCACATCTATCTCACAGTTTCTGCTGGATTTCATAGGAAACGGAGGTGGTCCAGTTTGGAGCTAGAAGAAATTTAAAAAAACAAAACAAAACATGAAGAATGAGAAGCAAAGAAACACCATGATGCATGAATGTTTCATGGCACCCACGATGTCCCTGCTTAGGAGATAATCGAATAGATGACTAGATGACAAGGAGAAAGATGAGAAGGTATAAAGATGTCCAAGACAAACAGCTCAACTAAACTTTCCTTAATGGAATATTTAAAAAGTGGTACATTAAAAAATATCCCCTCCCCAGGCATGGTGGCTCACGCTTGTAATCCCAGCACTTTGAGAGGCCAAGGTGGGAAAATCACTTGAGACTGGGAGCTTGAGACCAGCCTGGCAAACATGGTGAAACCCCATCTCTACTAAATATACAAAAATTAGCTGGGCATGGTGGTGAGCACCTATAGTTCCAGCTACTGGGGAGGCTGAGGCGGAGAATCACTTAAACCCAGGAGGTAGAGGTTGCAATGATCCAAGATCACACCATTATACTCCAGTCTGAGTGACAGAGCCAGACTCTGTCAAAAAAAAAAAAAAAAAACTTCCCTCAATTTATATTAACAATTCTCTGTTCAGGACTCAGAACTAAGTGGGGTACAGACTGTTAAATGTAGTAGGGTGTGGTGGCTGACACCTCTAATCCCAGCACTTTGGGAGGCTGAGGCGGGAGGATCATCTGAGTTCATGAGTTCAAGACCAGCCTAATAAACAGGGTGAAATCCTGTCTCTACTAAAAATACAAAAAGTAGGCGGGCATGGTGGTGCACGCCTGTAATTCCAGCTACTTGGGAGGCTGGGGCAGGAGAATCGCAGGAACCTGGGAGGCAGAGATTGCATTGAGCTGAGATTATGCCACTGCACTCCAGCCTGGGCCACAGAATGAGACTCTGTTTCAAGAAAAAAAAAAAAAAGAAAGAAAGAAAGGAGAGACTGTTAAATGTGCCTAGATGTCTTCATAACTCATCTATTTTCTGTTTTCTAGATATCTTGAAAGGCAGTCCCAAATGATGTGTAATTATCTAGGTTGTATAAAGAAAACATACTTCCACTTCCCTTGAATATAAAAAGCATTATAGTATTAGGGCTTTTTTCTTGGGTCATTGTTCAGAAGGAGGGTCAGCCCCCAGACAACCACATTTTTACTGTCATGAGTGGCAAGAGAAAATGTAGAGCTCAATTTACCCAATGGACAAAAAGGCTCAGATGACGGCACAACTTAGCAACCAAATTCTTACCAAGTACAGACCTTGGACACACTAATCCTTCTCCACCTGCAACCTGGAACATGCACTTCGAATGATGTCATTTGAAATTACCCTGCTGGGACACACTTTTCATTGATTCTCTGAAGGGCAGTTCTGAGATTCTCTGGGGCTTTCTCTGCATCATGAGACTTAGTGTAGCTCTGCCCTTCACCTTCCTGCAGTTTGTCACCTCTTCCCTATGATCTCAGAGGAACTTTGTCTCAAATCAACTTTTTGTTCCTTGGGCTCCTTCTTCTAAAAATCACTGGCTGCCCCTCGGAATTGTCTCCATCTGCAAAGAGGGTGCTCTTTAAGCATCAACCATCTGGCCCTTCTTACAGTTTCATTTTTTGGCTGGTTCCCATGTTTATGCCTGTTCTGTGTTTTTCTTCTCCTGTTAAGCTGTCTGTTGTCAGTTTGTTTCTGCAGTGAACCTTTAGAGAAGACAGTGAAAGCTTTCCTTCCAGCCATACGAAAAATCATAAAGCAGAAAAGTTTAGACAGAATTTCCTATTTAAGTCCTGAAAATTCATGCTCCATTCCCGATAAAGAGCACAAAGGTAAACAAACAAACAAACAAAACCCCAAAAATTGATTTTTGACCCAAAGCTGTGTTGACATTCTATTAAACAAATACCAACCTATTTAATTTTAATAATATAAATGGCAGATATTTTTATAATTCTTATGCTAATAAATAATTTCCCTGATGTTTTTGGTGAAACCTAATAATCATAATAAAGTCCAGAACCATTAACTATTTTAAATAATTTCTTCTTATTTGTGATTACAAGTATACCTCTATGGGAAGTAAATATACTCTCACACAAGCCAATTTTTTGGAGAAAAAGGCCAACTGTAGAAACTCCCAGAAACACAATAGTGATAAGCATCCACAGAACATGAAGAAAGTCATGCCCAGGATACAAATAATCAGGTAGAAAACTGATAACCTGGAATAATAATAGTTGAAATAATGAAAAGGTCAGTGACGTTTACAATATTTCAGTAAAAAATAATAATAATCTTCAGAAACCATCAACCTTCTCCAAGAGGTAACCACACCCCTCAGATATCACCAGGGGATTCCACTGCTTCAAAAAAGATTGGAAGTTACCAGTCTCATGTTTTTTTGCATGGCTGGCAGTGTTTTTAGGCATTCCAAATGTAGAGTGTCTTTTTTTCTTGATGTAAAGCAGGGATATCCAGTTTTTTGGTTTCCCTGGGCAATATTAAAAGAAGGAAAGTTGTCTTAGGCCACACATAAAATACATTAACACTAACAATAGCTGATGATCTAAAAAAAAAAAAAAATCACAAAAAGGCCAGGTGCGGTGGCTCATGCCTGTAATCCCAGGAGGGATTACTTTGGGAGGCAGAGGCCAGCGGATCACCTGAGCTCAGGAGTTCCAGACCAGCCTGGCCAACATGGTGAAACCTCATCTCTACTAAGAATACAAAAATTAGCCAGGTGTGGTGGTGGGCACCTGGAATCCCAGCTACTCAGGAGGCTGAGGCAGGAGAACCACTTGAATCAGGGAGGCGGAGGTTGCAGTAAGCCAAGATCATGCGATTTCACTCCAGCCTGGAAGACAAGAGGAAGACTTTTTTTTTTTTTTTTTTTTTGAGACAGTGTGCCACTTGGTTGCCCAGGCTGGAGTGCAGTGGCACAATCTCAGCTCACTGCAACCTCCGCCATCTGGGTTCAAGCCATTCTCCTGCCTCAGCCTCTCAAGTAGCTGAGATTACAGGCGCCTGCCACCATGCCTGGCTAATTTTTATGTTTTTGATAAAGACGTGGTTTCACCATGTTTGTCAGGCTGGTCTGGAACTCCTGACCTCACCTGATCCACTGGCCTCAGCCTCCCAATTACAGGTGTGAGCCACCACATTAGCCTGCCATTTCTTTATATTTGGACAACATAAGGACATTAAGACCCTTTGTGCTTTGGGTCAATCAATAATCTGTACCATACACATTTTACAAAATAAAAGACAATATGGTCCTCATTCACATCCTGGTCATGTCACTCCTAGTGACTCCCACATTGCAAACATCCCAGCAGGTGCAGCCCTTTCCTCTCCCATCTGATGGGCTTCTCAGCTCCCATCACACTGACTGGACACAGACTCCCTAGAGGCAGCCCTCAAGAGCAGAAGACAGGGATGACTCAGAAGTTCCTAAAACGTCATCAAACCAGTGGACACAAAACTCAAATGACATTTCACTTTGTTTTGGTTCATTTTGTTTGAGACAAGAGTGCAATGGGACGATCTCAGCTCACTGCAACCTCCAACTCCTGGGCCCAAGCGATCCTCCCACTTCAGCCTCTCCAGTAGCTGGGACTACAGCTACACACCACCAGGACCAACTAATCTTTTAGGAATCTTTTGTAGAGATGCGGTTTGGCTCTGATGCCCAGGCTAGTCTTAAACTCCTGGACTCAGGTGATCTGCCCACCTTAACCCCCAAAAGCACTGAAATTACAGACCTGTGCTGTATAATTTGCCATGTGACACAGCCCAATAACAAGGTAGAAACTGTGGGTCCAGCATCTACACACATGGGTGGATTGATGGCTGGGAAACACCAGCAGGAGGAGCCAAAAGAGCAGCTGTCACACGCGCGTGTCCTGCTCGTCTCAGGTCACGCTGAGGCAGCCAGGACAGAGGTGGGGGTGGCTTAGGGCTGAGATAGGGAAGCGGATGGGGAAATAGGGGTAGGATCTGAGCTAGGGAAGGGGAGGGGAGGGAAAAAGAGAGGGGAAGGGGAGCTATTGGGCACCTGGAGGAGGGGAGGAGAAAGGGGTCTGGGAAAGGATCCAGTTCAAACTAATTCTTCAAGGGCAAGTAGAACGTTCAGCTACAAGTCAGGGAGAAAGTCTATCAGGGAAGCAACAGGACATGCAGGGCAAGAAAGTGGGAGGCTCAGGAGCAATTAGACGGAGACCAGGACTCTGGTTTCCACCATACCTTCTCCTGTCGGGGCACTGCCTAAGCAACCCTGGGGCTTTATACTCCCTCTCCACCAATCCCCTGCCCCGGAACCTGGTACCTCACAGTGGACGTTCCACAGAGCATCCACATCCTCCAATACCCCCTCCCCCATCTCAGCCCCCCACATACATCCCAAGGACAGGTCCTCTCTGGAACCTTCACAGACCTGATTTCCGGTCTTCCCCACCAGCTCCCTGTCCCTGCTTCTGGGCGGCTCCTTCCTTCCTGAGCTCCCAGGGTTTCTCACAGTCAGTCTTGGCTGCAAAACATAAGAAACAAATGATGGCAGGATGGCAGGAAGAACCTCACACACAAGCAGAGTGGGAGGCTCCACAGCCTTCTCTCAGCCATTCATATTCTAAGCAACAAAACATCAGAAGGATGCAGAGGGTCCCAATAGTAAACCATCTCCATCACATCCATGGAGCCATCCATCCATCATATCTGTGTCTTGGGAACAAATGTTGAAGCTACATTTGTTTTAAGCATGCATGGTACATTTACAAAAATTAACTTGACTTATTTTGTTCATCAAGCAAATCTCAATACTGTATATTTCAGAGAAATCCATTCACACAGCAAGTTTCTGATCACATAATTGTGCTAGATGTCATTGATTAAAAGCTAACAAAAAATTATTATATGCTTGGCAATTCAAAGTGTCCTTATAAAATATAAACATAAGAAAGAATCCAAAATGAAACAAGACTGCCTTTACACTCAGTGATAAGATCATAACATGGCAATCAAATGTCTCCCTCTGGCCTCGGAATTATACTTTGTGGCACAAGGTTGTGTGGTCTCAAATCACCCCTAATACCTAGACATGTTAACATCTGAAACAGGGTGATGATGTCATTTATCTATATTATCTTACTGCCTGTGAGGGTAGACATTTAATTCTGAACCCTAATCAGAAGAAGAAAACCAAGTTGACTCTCATGATTGACCTCCCAGGGATGTCCAAGGAATCTGTGCACTTGACAAAGTTTGTCAGCCTCTCTCCTGGGGGATTTGGCCACAATACCCAGAGGGTTTGACAGCCTCATGAGTGATGGGTGGGGAATGCCAAGCAGGTAGGCAGGACCCAGGGGTCTGGTGACCAGGTCAGACCCCCACTGTCCATCATCTTTCCTGGCCCCAACCTCAGCTAAACTTCCCAAAGGCCTGCTTCTGCCTGATCACACAGAGTGTGCTCGAAATCACTCAGGCCTCTGGCAGATGAAAACCACAGCTTTAAATCTCTTTACCATTGACTATGACAAAGTTATTGTAAACCGCAAATTTCTATTGATGCTACAAATGGAAAGCCAATGCCTTTAGCATAAAGAAAAAAGCAACCCTAAGAGAAGAAGCAAAACAAAAACCAAACAGGGATAACACAACTATGGCATTCAATTCTATTTGTATGCTGTCACCTGCATAAAGGGCTCCAGATCTGGGTTGTCTTGGTTGTAAAAGGAGAGACCAAGTAAGTTGGGGTTGAAGTCAGATTAGCCCAAAAGTGAACAGCAGAGAGTACCATGATGTCCATTAAGGGTTTCTGGGGTCACCTTGATTATAGCCCAAGCAGAGACAGGGAAAGGAAGGAGATGTGAGCAGAGTTTGGGGGCTCAAACAAGGGAGGTGATTCATGCCACCCAGGAAAGGCTCCCCAAAGCCAGGGTCAACCTCCCTTGCAGGCAGGTCCCTCATGAAGGTAGGGCCAGGAACCTCAGATTTGTGCTGCTGAGTAGGTGTGTGACCCTGGGTTGATTTTCTTCCACACAACGGAAGTGTCAGTGGCTGTGTCAAGGACTGTCTGAGGATAGGGGGAAGCAATATGTTGAGCACCTGTGTTCTGAGTGTCATCACCTCCCAAGGACATCTTTCCTTCCAGAGCTGGCACCTTGGAAGGTCCTTGGCCACTAAAGGCAGTGATGATGATAACAGCAGTAAATCATCATTTACAATTGTTGAGGGAGGGCCAGGGGGTAGGGCTCTTAGGTACTGGATAAGAACGAGGGTCTGGGCACTCCTGGGGACAGCTGAGTGAGTCCTATAGGACTCCTTAGTCCCCAGAGGCAACTCCATCTTCAGTGGCATTGGGCCTAGGCTGGGATGCTCAGGCAGGCACTGGAGCATCAGGAGCACAAACAGCCACAGAGGCAGTGGATCCATCAGAGGTGGCAGGTGTAAGATCATCTGGTGACCAAGTAGAGTCACCAAGCCTGACTGGCCACTGCCCATTACAGACGATGCCCTGTTCCTTGCCTCACATGTTGACAGGGAAGCAGCTGGCACCTGGGGCCTCACAGAGCATCCCTCTAAGACCTCTGTGTCCTGGTCATTGAATGGGCACTGAGTCACCCAGGGCCATTGGAACAAGGAGGAAGAATCAGGCCCCACAATGTTTTGGGACAGTGTTTAGCACAGGAAAATGCACAGAATGCATGCACAACACAGGGGAACTGTTGGTATGGGAGCCAATATTTTATGGGCTCCAGCCCTCATCTGAGCACTCTCACCTGTGCAATCTGAAAGAAACAGGAGACCTGCAGGAAAGACAGTGCCTGGATTTAGCTTAAAGGAACTAAAATGTTGAAATTTTTACACTCCTGATATCCTTCCAAATCAACTCTCCCAATGCCACCATCTTTACCATTATCATATGGGGAAACTGAGGCAGAGGTTTACTGACTCAATGTCATTCAATTGATTCTGAGTTCACTGCTGATTATGTCTGAACTAACCACTTTTTCTAAGGTTAACCTATTTGATCATGCTGGTGATGATTCTATGCAGCTCTGGAACAAACTCCACCTGGTTGAGGATAAAGCACATCCCATCAATTCCTCACTCCCCCCCTCTGCCCCTCCAGTCTCCCGCATAGGCTGATACCATATGGTGGCCTTCATGGAGTCCAACAAGTATTTCAGATTCTCCTCTGGGTCCCTTGATGGTGGAGGTAGTTATGGGATTTGCTTTGACTCAGAAGACATGAGTGGAAGTGAAGTGTGTCACCTTAAGGCAAAAGAGTTGGGAGCCATTGAGACTGGCCACCCTCTCCTTCATCTCTTAGAGCCACTGACAGGTCCCATATGGAGGCTGCTCCTTTATTCTGATGGCAGACGAGGGGATGTGGAGCACAGAGCCCAGGAGAGCCATAGAGAAATTGCAGCATGAGTGGGAAAAGTCTTCAGTGTTATAAATTTCCATTGTTTGAGGCTGTTTATTACCTACAGTGGTACCTAGTCCATCCTAGCAGGCACGCACTATCTACTCCATGCTCTGTGACGCTGACTAGCCTACTGTCAGAACACAAACTTGTTGTAAGATACATGTAGGTTTCAGTCCCAGCTCTGCCTCTTATTGACTGCAACCTCAGGCATTTAATTTTCAGTCTCTGAGCCTCAGTCTCAACTCTGTAAAATGGGTTGGTTATACTACTTCAGGTTGTGGAGAAAATTAAACAAAATCAAAATGCATGTAAAGCATTGAGCCCACGACCTGTTACACACAGTGAGTACTTTAAACTAGCCATGTAACTTCATAATGCATATTGATTGTCAATTTTCAGACAGTGCAGCAAAGTATTACCAAAAAAAGGGAAAATGTTTGCGTATATATTCTTTCAATCTTTATTTTTAAACAGAGAGGATAAAATTATGAATATTCTTTCATAGCCAGTATTTTTCTCTTAATAGTATATTGTTAAAATTTTTTATCTCAGGCCTGTCGTGGTGGCTCATGCCTGTAATCCCAGCACTTTGGGAGGCCAAAGCAGGTGGATCACGAAGTCAGGAGTTTGAGACCAGCCTGGCCAATATGGTGAAACACCCATCTCTACTAAAATACAAAAATTAGCCGGCATGGTGGCATGCACATGTAGTCCCAGCTGCTAGGGAGGCTGAGGCAGAATAATCACTTGAACCTCAGAGGCAGAGGTTGTAGGGAGCCGACCATGGTTGTGCCACTGCAATCCAGCCTGGGTCACAGAGCAAGACGCTCTTTAAAAAATAATAATAATTATATATATAATGAACTAGGGAGAAGTACCTCTTTTTCTATTGTTTGGAATATTTGCAGGAGGAATAGTGCCAGCTCCTCTTATTACCTCTGGTAGAATTCAGCTGTGAATCCATCTGGTCCCGGGATTTTTTTTTTTTTTTTTTTTGGTTGGTAGGCTATTAATTACTGCCTCAATTTTAGAACTTGTTATTGATCTATTCAGGGATTTGACTTCTCCCTGGTTTAGTCTTGGGAGGATGTATATGTCTAGGAATCCATCCATTTCTTCTAGATTTTCTAGTTTGTTTGCATGGAAGAGATTATAGTATTCTCTGATAGTAGTTTGTATTTCTGTGGGATCAGCAGTGATCTCCCCTTTATCATTTTTTATTGTGTCTACTTGATTCTCCTCTCTTTTCTTCTTTATTAGTCTGGCTAGCAGTCTATTTATTTTGTTAAACTTTTCCAAAAACCAGCTCTTGGAGTCATCGATTTTTTTTAATGCTTTTTTGTGTGTGTTTCTCTATCTTCTTCAGTTCTGCTCTGATCTTAGTTATTTCTTGTCTTCTACTAGCTTTTGAGTCTGCTTGCTTTTGCTTCTCTAGTTCTTTTAATTGTGCTGTTACAGTGTCAATTTTAGATCTTTCCCTTTTTCTCCTGTGGGTAATTTGGTGCTATAAATTTCCCTCTAAGCACTGTTTTTCTGGGCCCCAGAGATTCTGGTACATTGTGTCTTGTTCTCATTGGTTTCAAAAAAAAATGTATTTATTTCTACCTTAATTTCATTATTTATCCAGTAGTCATTCAGGAGCAGGTTGTTCCGTTTCCATTTAGTTATGCTATTTTGAGTGAGTATCTTAATCCTCTAATTTGATTGCACTGTGGTCTGAGCGACTGTTTGTTATGATTTCCATTCATTTGCATTTGCTGAGGGATGTTTTACTTCCAATTATGTGGTCAATTTTAGAATAAGTGCTATGTGGTACTGAGAAAAATGTATATTTTGTTTGATTTGGGGTGGAGAGTTCGGCAGATTTCTATTAGGTTTACTTGGTCCAGAGCTAAGTTCAACTCCTGAATATACTTATTAACTTTCTGACTCGTTGATTCGTCTAATGTTGACAGTAAGATGTTAAAGTCTCCCACTATTTTGTGGGAGTCTAAGTCTCTTTGTAGGTCTCTAAGAATTTGCTTTATAAATCTGAGTGCTCTGGTATTAGGTGCATATATATTTAGGATAGTTAGCTCTTCTTGTTGCATTGATCTCTGTGCCATTATGTAATGCCCTGCCTTTTTAAAAATCTTTGTTGGTATAAAATATGTAGTGTGTTTTATCAGAGACTGGGTTTACAACCCCTGCTTTTTTTTTCTTTCTATTTGTTTGGTAAATCTTCCTCCATCTCTTTATTCTGAGCCTACGTGTGTCTTTGCACGTGACTTGTGTCTCCTGAGTACAGCATCTGATGGGTCTTGACTCTTTATCCAATTTGCCAGTCTGTGCCTTTTAATTGGGGCAGTTAGCCCATTTACATTTAAGATGCATGTTGATATGTGTGAATTTGATTCTATCATTATGATGCTAGCTGGTTATTTTGCCCATGGTTCATGCAGTTTCTTCATACTGTAGATGGTCTTTACATTTTTATTTTTGCAGTGGCTGGTACCAGTTTTTTCTTTCCATACTTAGTGTTTCCTTCAGGAGCTCTTGTTAGGCAGACATAGTGGTGACAAAATCCCCCAGCATTTGCTTCTCTGTAAAGGATGTTATTTCTCCTTCATTTAGGAGCTTAGTTTGGCTGGATATGAAATTCTGGGTTGAAAATTCTTTTCTTTAGAATGTTGAATATCAGACCCCACTCTCCTGGCTTGTAGAGTTTCTACAGAGAGATCCACTCTATTAGTCTGATGGGCTTTCCTTTATGGGCAACCCAATCTTTCCCTCTGCCTGCCCTTAACATTTTTTTCTTTGTTTCAACCTTGGGGAATCTGACAATTATCTGTCTTGGGGTTGTTCTTCTTGAGGACTATCTTTGTGGTGTTCTCTGTATTTCCTGAATTTGAATGTTGGCCTGTCTTGCTAGGTTGGATAAGTTCTCCTAGATAGTATCCTGAAGTGTAATTTCCAACTTGGTTTCATTCTCCCCATCACTTTCAGGTACACCAATCAAACTTATGTTTGGTCATTTGATATAGTCTCATATTTTTTGGAGGGTTTTCTTGTTCCTTTCCATTCTTTTTTCTCTAATCTTGTCTTCATGCTTTATTTCATTAATTTTATCTTCAATCCCTATATCTTTTCTTCCACTTGATCAATTCAGCTATTGATACTTGTGTATGCTTCACAAAGTTCTCGTGCTGTGTTCTTCAGCTTTATCAGGTCATTTATGTTCTACTCTAAACTAGTTATTCTAGATAGCAATTTCTCTAACCTTTCATGAAGGTTCTTAGCTTCCTTACATTGGATTTGAATATGCTCCTTTATCTTGGAGGAGTTTGTTATTACCCACCTTCTGAAGCCTAATTTTGTCAATTCATCAAACTCATTCTCTGTCTAGTTTTGTTCCCTTGCTGGCGAGGAGTTGTGTTCCTTTGAAGGAGAAGAGGCATTCTGGTTGTTGGAATTTTCAGCCTTATTGAGCTTTTTTTTTCTTTTCTTTTCATCTTTATGGATTTATCTACCTTTGGTCTTTGATATTGGGAACCTGCGGATGGGGTTTTTATGTGGACATACTCTTTGTTAATGTTGATGCTAGTTTTTTTCTGTTTGTTAGTTTTCCTTCTAACAGTCAGAACCATTTGCTGCACTTCTGCTGGAGTTTGCTGGGGATCCACTCTAGACTCTGTTCTCCT